GGGCTGACCTTGAACAGCAATCCTTCCGATCTCAGCAAAGTAGCTAGGGTTACAGGTGCAAGCCACTGGTGGCTGGCTAAACTCTTTCCACGGGTTGATGGGGAAAGAGATTGGAGCCCAAAGAGGGGTGGGGCTCATCCAGGGCTGACCAGAGGCTGGGTGGGGCTGGCCAGAGGGTGAAGAGGCAGGACTGAAGCCCAGTAGCCCAGAAGCTGGTGAGGGTTATTCTGGGGAGGAGGGAGGAGCAAGTTCTGAAAGTGGGGGCCGGGCTGTCACACTTCTATGGTGACCAGGCCGTAGGGGCCCACCCTGTTTGCTGGGCAGGTGTTGGGCATCAAAGAAGCTTAAGGAGCTTCTGAGCATTAGGCCTATGGGGTTGCCCTTGACCCACGGGCTTAGCTGGTGCGGTTCCCAGCCAATGAAAACACAGACCTGGCCCCAGGAACTCTATCCTTGGAAGGAAATGCCTTAGATCCCAATAATGACAAGTAATCCTATCAGCCAGTGACCTCGGACAAGACGGTTTCCTTCTCCGAACCTCAGTTTCCCCATCTGTAAAATTTGAGTTCAGCCCATGTCTTTTCTGACAAGGGTAAATCACAGAGGTTTTGGGAATATTTATAATTTATATGTATGAAGGATTGAAAATCATTGCTTCTGTTTTCTGATTAGAGAATAGATACTCCTTGTAGCAAATTCAGGAAATGGTCTCATCTGCACTGAAGTGTGGCCAGGCAGGGCATCCCAACAGTCAGCGCTCAGGCAAGACCACTTGCCTTCTTTGCTTCTACCTGGCATTAGGGCAGCTAGTAGGATTTGTCTCAACCAGGGAGGTCTCCAAATGGCCTAGCAGAACATTTTTGGAAAAATTCTTTTTCCCCCAAAGAGACAGCTTGTTGGAGCTACAGGTTCAAGTTACTTTTTTAAAAAATCCTTTTAGTGTTAAAAGATAACATGTTTTATAAAGAGAAGAATCTAATGAGTTCTTCAAGTTCCTTTGCAATGGAACTTTCTGGACTTGGTCCATTGTGAACGGTTTTTTGGCTGAACATCTCATTTTTCTATTGAGTGGAAATTAAAATCAAGAGTAAAGAGAAACAAAAACCATTTTATTCAGCTGTGAGCAGAAATCAGTGATAGAGTATTTGCCTAGCATTTGCAAGGCCCTGCCTTTGATTGTCAGCCCCACAAAAATAAAATAAAACTAAATTAAAAAATAAAAGAAAAAGAAGTCACATTTTACACTTCTACAATTATTAAGCAATTTAAGGCAAACTCACCAAGCCAAGAACCCCAATCTCCACTAGCAGGTTTATGCATGGCACCTGGCTCCTCCAGACATCCCAAGGCCCGCAGTGCTGAACCAGGTTGATTGGGGAGCTGAGAATGGCTTCCTGGGTGAGGTGATGCCTAAGCTAAGCCCTGAGCCCAGGGCAGACCCTCACCTTCCCCTGGACATCTCTGTAAATGACATATGATGTCATTTTACAGAGCAGAACACTGAGACCCAGGGCATCAGACTTTCACTATCTCCCTGGACCCTTCCCCATCAGTCATCCATTCACCAAAGCTCACCAAGGGGTACCTCATGCTCCCAAACTGAGCCGTGGAGGGTATGTGGCTCCGGCCAGCTCCTAGGCATCTGTGCTTAGGTTTTCTTCTTCCTGCCTCCCGTGCCAGCAGCCTGAAGCTTCCTCCCAGCCTCTATCTTCAGCAGAACAGACATGGCTAAGCTGTCCTGGAAGACCAGAGCTCATGGCTTTGCTAGGGCACAGCATCATGGCAGGGTGAGTCCCTGGAGGAGGAAGCTGAGGCCTAGAAGGTATGAAAACACCTAGCCAGGGATAGCCCTGGCATTAATTCCAAGATGGACTTAGCCAGAAGAGTCTGGAACCTGGACAACTGCAAGAGCCAGATGGAACCCATTTGGTCCAGTGTGGAGGACACTGTAACCTGAGTATGTCACAGTCTCTTGCTAGCCTGGGGAGAGTGACAAGGCCATCTCCAGCCCTCAGATGAGAACTTGCTCAATGCAAGGGTGCCCAAGCCTCCACAGAGGACAGGGAGGCTGTCAGAGGCCAAGGTTCCCCCATGGAAGGGGGCTGTCCTGTCATTGGTGGGCTATTGCCTTCCCCTCCATAGGCTTCAGTTTCCCTCCCTGCATGTGGCTGGGGTTGCTGCACTTTCCAGGAACATGCCACAATAAGAAGCTCCAGAAAAGGTGGCCAGGATAGTCCAGGTTGGGGTTCCAATAGACTATGGATCTGTTGTTAGATCATGCAGTCTCTCTCTGATCAGATTTCCAAATTCTTTGTGTTACACGTGGAAGTATCTAGGCATGTGTAGTAGCTCCTTTACTACACCTGGGTGTAGTAAAGGAGGTGATGGAATTTATTAAAGATTAAAGAGAGGAAGCTGAGCACCTGTGTCTCACGCCTATAATCCTAGCTACACAGGAGGCAGAGATCAGGAGGATCATGGTTTGATGCCAGCCCAGAAGATGAAGACCCTATCTTGAAATAACCCATCACAAAAAGGGCTGGTGGAGTGGCTCAAGGTGTAGGCCTGAGTTCAAACCCCAATACTGAATGAATAAATAATAAATAAATAAATAAATAAATAAATAAATAAAATTAATGAAAGGAGTTACAAAAGGCCAAGATGGGGCCAGGTAGAAGCAGAGAGAGTATCTTCCTCTTTCCAAATGCTTTTAAACCCTATGGTTTAAAAACCATTCCCAACCACCAAAAACCTCTGAGTGGGGAGGGGCAGGGGTGGCTTGAGTTGTCCCCTCCAAGGTGTGAATAACCTACACACATTAGCAATTGAAAAGAAGCTCAGAGAAAGAGAAGAATGCTCAACCTGAAATGCAGTATGAAGTCATACATGTTTTAGAGAGGTGAGAAGGATGCTTTCCTGGAGCCTCTGGAGAAACACAGCCCTGCTCACACCCTGATCTCAGACTTCTGGCCTCCAGAACTGTGAGACTCTAAATTTCTGTTGTCCTAGGATATACTATCTGTGGTCCTTTGTTACACAGGCAGAGGAACCATACACACACTAATGGTCAGGTGGTCAGCACTGTTGGACACTGGAGAGGCCTGAGCCACAGTGCAGTGATGTGTGGGGAGGTCACAAGCCTGGCAGTTTCATATCCCATGCATCTTCAATGCAACAGTGCCTCAGACTCCCCTCCCAGCCCACTCCTTGTGCCTGTTACCAGAAAGTTTAGCATTGGGGTATACCTTGATTCTTGCATCTGAAAAGAAAAAAATTCAGGTAAGATGGGAAAATATAGTAAAATGGATAGTAAAGTTTATTAGGAAAGGGACACACTTCATTTTCCGAGCTGGCATCAAACCGTGATTCTCCTCATCTCTGCCTCCTCAGTAGCTAGGATTACAGGTGTGAGACTCTCTAGAGTCTAGAGTGAAAACTAAGGTATCAGTATTTGGAACTGGAATATTTATTCAGGAATTCTCAGCTCCAGGTCCTCTTGGCCCCAAGGATGGGCTTCTGGGCCTGGGTCTTTGTCTTGTTAAGTTAAAGAATTACCTGTGTGAAACTCCCAGCTCTAGGCCTAGCTGATGGTTAGAGTGTGGCTTACTCCTAAGTAAAGAAAGGATTAAACTTTAGGTGAGTGGCTGACTTCAAACCATTTTGATATCCCCTGGCATCCTCAATGGCCTACTGTGAAGTTGGGAAGTTTAATTACAATGATTTTTATTCCCTCTATTTACGTCTAACTGCTACCTATCAATCCTGTGGGCAGCTGCCTCCCATGGCAGTGCATGGAGCAGGAGAGGAAGGCCACACAGGCCCCAGGCGGTGGGTTCAGGGCCATTTGGCAGGGGATTTTGGGGGGGCTGGAGGAGGCTGGAATGACAGTGGGAGCTGTGAATAATCTGATGTGGTAGAGGACACACACACACTTGATTTTGCATAAAGGAAATTGAAGTAAGCCATCAAATATGGCCAAGTGAGAAGGAGATACTAGGGAGTGAATCCAACCCTGATGACGAGGGAGGTCCTCATTGTATGGTCCTGAACTTCAACTTCTGCAGGTGGGAGAGCCTGCCTTGCTGGAACCCCACCCGGTGGTCTGCAGACCACCCATGCTTTTCATGGTCACCTGCCTGACCCTTCAGAGCCAGTCTGTCAGGCTGTTATTTTCCTAGGCTGACCAACATTCACCTGGATTCCGGCTGTCTCTGGAGCTTCCAAACACATTCCTACCTCAGGGCCTTTGCATTCCCCAGCTCTGCAAGGATGGATCTCAGCTCAAACCTCACCTGCTCTTTCTAGAGCAGTCCTGGCTCGAGGAGTAGGAGACCCACACCTCTGGGTATTGTCTAGGCAAGGGGCTGACCCTAAGCGGGATGGGTCAGAGGGAAAGGAAGGGGTGAGTCACAGCTCTCCACCCAGGAATTGGACAGGTGGGGCTCAGCTAGGAGAGAGCAGGTCCCTAAGAAGAGTGTGTGTGTGGCCCTGGTTGAAATCCTACTTTCACCAGTGAGAACTATAAGTAAGGCTAGCCTCCTCGGGAGACCTCAGAGGGGCAGGTGGCCCACAGCGAAAGTCAAGGGACAGAGGCAGAGTCCACAGAGGACACTGTGGTGGAAGTGGGATTGGCAGGGGAAAGGGGGGTTTGCTCTTTGCCCTTAGGTACCTTCCGAATTAAGCACCCTGAGAATGCAAGACTTTACTCAAAAAATAAGCACAACGAAGCACCCAAGGAGCAAAGGTGGCAAAGAGGGGCCAGGTGAGGGTCCGAAGAGGAAAATGTAGGGACAGAAGTCTCGGAGTTACAGTTTCCCCAAAGCTGGCCTCAACCATGGGCCTCATTCCCACTTCGGGCCCCAGCCCTGGCCCCACCCCAAGGGGCAGGAGGGACCTGAGTGGTGCAGAGCCACACTCGCCTTGGAGGGCGTGGGCGACACCCAGCCACGCCCTTACATGACCCGCCCCTCCGCCTGACCCCGCCCCTCACTCCGCGCCGACCGCCTGCCAGGCGCAGGATGCGTGGGGCGGTCGCCACCCTCCGCGACGGGGCGAAGCCCCGGGGGAGGACAGGGGTCACCACGCTGGTCCCGGGGAACCGTACAGGTGAGGGTTTGTCCGCAGGGCTCCATGGGGCGGGGGGAGGCTCTGCTCCCTTTTCACCGACGGGGAAGCCGAGGGGCGAGGGTCACGGGGCGGCACAGCTGGAAAGCGTGCACAGCCAAGGTGGGGGGGGAGTGGCGTGAGTCAAACCGCCGAGGGCCACCCCGAAGACGAACCCTTCCGACCTTATGCTGACCCAGCCGGCGCCCCCAACGGAGCCGAAACCCGGCGGCGAGCGGCGCGCAGCCGCCTGCCTTGGGTTCGCGTACCGGGTCCCTGACGGTCCGGATGCTGCGGAAGTCGGAACTGGCCTCACCTGGCCGGGCGCGCAGCCCCGGGGCGGAAAAGGCGAGGTGGGGCGCGCTCTCCGCGCCCAAGGGAGGGCTCATCTTCGGGGTCCCTTGGTGACTACTCCAGTCTTGATTTACAGATGGGAAAACTCAGCCTGTGAAAGAGGAGTGGCTGCCCGAGGTCACCCGGCTGCGGGACCTGAGATTGGCCTAGGCGCGCAAAGGCTCAAAAGTCTCCGAAAGGAAGGAAAATGGCTTTTAAGTGTGTAATTTCAAGAAGTGTTAAAGAGGTTTCACTTCAGTACCCCAGGCTTTGGGTTCGAGTTCCAGTGTCAGCTTTGCTCCATGAATGCTTATAAAGTCTAATTCTTTTAAAAACAACTAAACCGCAACTCTGCATCTCCAGTATCTCAATAGCTCACTCCCTTGTGGTGGCCACTGCTCACCAGGGTTCCATCCGAGGATCCTGGGCAACTGGTGCAGGCTGGATTTAGCCTCTTGGCACAAGAGGAAGCTGAGGTCCGGAGGTGGGGGTGGGGGTCTGGTTCCTGCTTAGCGTGGCAGAAGCTGAGCATTGCCCCAGCCCTGGTAGGTTCGATTTTGTGCAACCCCATTCCACCCCACCAACCCATTGCCCAGAGTCCCTAATTTGGTCCTTTGGGAGCCAGAATGTTTTGCTGTTGTGTTTGAGGAGGCCAGTCCGGGCCTGGTCCTGCCTGGGGTCTCACATGTGTGAGCCCCCTCCACAGAAGCCTGGAGGAGTGGGTATCAAGGGCTAGGTGGAAAGGCTTACCCAAGGTCAACCCAAAGCTTGGGAAAGCCTGGAGCCTCTGACTTACTTGCATACAAAAAGCTATTTGTATAGGGATCACTGTTGGGGTCTCGTGAGTTGAGTGCCCTGGCTCCTGAGCACTTCCCAGACACAAGGCCCCCTGTTGGAATTGGGGTTACAATCCCTCCTCTGACCTGGGATGAGTCTCCCCGTGTCTGTGCCTCCGTTTCCAAATGTGCTCAGTGGTGAGCACTGTATATCTGCCCCCAAGCTGTGGACAGGCCAGATGGGGTCCAGGGCGAGTCCTTGTCCTGCCTGGAGTAATGCCATAACCTGGATGCCATCGCTGCCTCCCAGGTAGCCTTAGTCTCTTGCGCTGTGAAATGGGCTGTGAAATGATGAGGCTCGGGGTCTTTTGGAGACAGTTTGATGTTGTCTGAAACATAGCATCTGAGGCACAATCCATAGCATAGGTCTTTAGCCACGGGCCTTCCTAGAGAAGATAGGAAAGACAGTAGTCCAGGTGGCCCAACATCCTGGGGACCTATGCTCTGGGGTTGTGGGGGGTGGCTTAGAGCAGGGTTTCGAATGTTTGTTGAATGGCTGGTGCTGGCCCTGCTCCCAGGGCAGCAACTGTACTCCCTAATCTGGGAGATTGTCCAGGAACACAGGGTTCTAGTGACCAAAGGCCATTTCCCTGGCACCCCCAGGAGGGACCTTGAAGGGTCTGGAAAGGGAAGCCCTACAAATAGGTGAAGTGGGCTCTGTGGGCATCCTCTTGGCTTCACCTGTGCCCATTTTACAGAGGAGAAACAGGCCCGGTGGGAGCCAGTGTGATCAAAGTGGGACTTACCTTGAGACCTGGTTGTGGCCTCCTGCCAAGGTGCTGGCAGAGCTGCTGGATAACAGGCATAGTTCCTAGGACCTTTATCCCACTCTTCCCCCCAGGTATTTGGGGGGAGGGATCACTTTTCCTTGGTTGGAATTTTCCCAGTTGACCTCTGGGAAGAGAGTCTTGTGTGAGGCTCAACCTGGGAGACCCAAGGCTTCAGGAGTTCTGAGGCCTGTACCTACCTTCCATGGGAAGATGCACTCAGAAAGGGCAGATGACTTGCTTGAGGACACACAGCCAGGGCTATGGGCCTCCCAAAGTAGTGTTGGGAATCTTCACTGTTGGGGTCCTGCTTTTAGAGTACCTGTGTGTACATAAGTCATCGCTGAGAAATCCCTTCTCTTGGATTCCCATTTTGCATTTGGGGAAACTGAGAACTGGACCAAGATCACACAGGGACTCACTGGTAGGTGGGGACCTGCCAAGTCCTGGTGAGGCTGGGTCCAGTGGCCTGCCTTCCCCCCTTCTGTGAGGCTATAATCTCACAGCCTCCGCCAGCATAAAAGGGAATTTATTAAAAAGGTCAGGGTGAGGAGGCCATGTGGGCCCCAGGAAGGAGGACAGAAGGGCCTGGCCCATGGTTCAAGGTTCCAGATAAAAGATTAACAAGCAAGGATCTTTTCCGGACACTCACTGGCCTCAAGGACTGGGGAAGGAGAGGGCTGGGAGGATGGGGCCCACCAAGGTCAGAACATGTAAGGGCTTTAATATAAGAGCCCAGGAGAGCACAGCTGTAGCAGGTGGGTTGGACAGAGGTATCAGCTGGGGGACACAGGCTAGGGACCCTCCTGTGCCCTTCTGTCCTCACCACCATCCTCAAAGCCACAACAGGGCTAGGCTGAGCCTTGTGTGTTTTTCTCTTGTTTATATTAAACAATTCACTTCACTTTTTTCCTGTTGTTTTTTTCCTCTTCTTGAAGATTTAATTCCACATAGTTCAAAAAAGGGGTGTCAGGGGTGCCTGAATGAAAATGTACTAGAGCTGGCCCAGAGAGTGAGGGGTCAGAGGCACACTCACAGTGGAGGACTGGGGACATGCAGTGTCCAGTGTTCCTGGAGGACTGCAGGGGAGGGTGGAGGTCATGAGGGGTTGTGGTGGGTTTGTGGACTAAGTTGAGAGTGGGGTCTGTCTTGTGGTTAAGAACATAGCTGTCAGAGTGCTCAAACCCCATCTACCCTATTTTGGAACATCCTCTGAGAGGTACAGTCAGAGGTTTCCTGGGCTATAGGCCTGACACTGCACCTCTCCCTGCCCCATGCTTTCTGTGCATTTGGAGTCCTATGGGAAGGGCCACCCAGAGAGGGCTGAAGTCCATGCTGTCACCCTTTAAGCTACCAGTGTCTGCCCAGAAGCCTTAGGAACTTGGGGACAGAGGTCCCACCGTGCAGTGGACTGTGGGTGAAGATCCCCTGGGTGTCATAAGGATTGGTGCCCTGGGTCCCATGGTGTCCTGGAATACTTGGGGTGTGACTTAAAGTCCCACCTGGAGAGTCAGCTCCTGCTTCAGTGTCTCCACACTCCTGTGACTCTGGAAGGCAGGTCACCCATTTTACAGATGGAGATGTCTGAAGGAGGTGAAAAATCCAAGCCCAGGACATGCTGTTGGAAAATCTGGGCAGGATAGCCCCCAGGAACTCATGGGTTCACCACCACTAACCCTCCCTGGGGTGGGGAGAAGGGCTGGGGGCTCAGTGGGGTACTTCCCCTATACCCCCCACAAGTGTAATTTTTTTTTCTAGTACGGGGGTTTGAACTCGTGACCTCATGCTTACTAGGCAGGCACTCTACCACTTGAGCCACTTCGCCAGCTCTAGCCCCCACAAGTGACTTGGCCTTCTTATGCCTAGCTTAGTGTGTGGATTAAAAGAAGTTGGGCCTCAAGGGGTGTCCCTGGGTCGAAGGCCAAGAGGGCAGGGTAGGGCCAGCCTGAATGAGGGCTCACCCTCCCTCCAACCACTGTCAGCTTCCTCATTTTATTTTATTTATTATTTTTGGTGGTACTGGGCTTTGAACTCAGGGCCTCACACTTGCTAGGCAGGCACTCTTTCCCACTTGAGCCACTCTGCCAGTCTTTTTGTGATGGTTTTGTTTGTTTGTTTGAGATAGGGTCTCATAAACTGTTTGCCTGGGCTGTTTTCCAACCGCAGTCCTCCTGATCTCTGCCTCCTGAATAGGCAGGATTACAGGTATGAGCCACCAGCACTTGGCCCGAACATTTTATTTTTCAAGAAAGAACCATTCCCACAATCCAATGAGGAACTTGGACTCTACCTAGTGAGTCCCCCTAGTTGACTGGCTAGAACTGCAAGGTTTGAGGAGCTATTGTGGCTCTAACCTGTAATCCTAGCTACTTAGAAGGCAGAGATGGGGAGGATGACAGTTTGAGGCCAACTCAGGCAAAAAGTTTACGAGACTCCCATCTCAACCAATGGCTGGGTGTGTGTCAGCCACGCAAGGAAGCACAAATAGGAGGACCGTGGTCTAGGTCAGCCTGGGCATAAAGTGAGACCCTATCTCAAAAAAAAAAAAAAAAACAGTACAAAAAGGACTTGGTGGCTCAAATGAGAGAGTGCTTGCCTAGCAAGCACAAGGTCCTGAGTTCAAATCCCAGTGTCACAAAAAGAAAGAAAAAGTAAGAAAGAAAAGAAATGCAAGGTCTGATGCATATTTGGGGCTAGGACTACATTAAAGCCCTCCCCTTCCCTCAGTGTGAGTCTGCTGGAGTCCGGACCCCTTACCCTCCCTACCCACCCCGCCCAAATACAGCTGTGGTGTGGCTGCCTACTTTACTGGACGTATGCTGCTTTTATATAAGTCTTTCATTTGCTATATCCTGGGTTTCTTACAGGCCAGTGTGACAATGCTGGTTGGTCCCCTATCTTTGGTTGTGGATGGTGACTTCACCCTTCATCCCCTACATTGACCAGGCTCAATAACGGGGACAGGAAATCTGTCCTTGAAGATTTGATGATGACCCGGCAGGCACTGTGAGGTGTTGCTGTCTGAGGATAAGCACTGCCCACAGCGGAACCAGCTGCAGACCTCAGG